GAAAACAGAGAAGTAGCTGTTTGGCAAACCTGAATGACTTAGTGCATCTGGCTTTAACCTGAGAAGATAGTTCATAGATTGCAATACTACTCTACTACTTTTCTACATGGGAGTCCAGGCCTTCATTTTCAGTTTTACCTATTATCAAACGAAGTCATACCTCACAGGAATGTTTCAGGAGCGACGCATTCCATAAAATACGTTTTAAACACCAGACAGTGCCAGATGCCTTCCTGAACTCTGGAAACATTTTCCTTGCCCGAAGGGAACTGAGAACATCATGTAAACCATGAAGTTAGAAATGAATGTTGTCCTTTCATGAAAAGTTAAAAGTTGTAATTAAGATATCCACAGAGAGGAATGCTGTAGCAGGACAGATGAAACATCATAGAGCCCAGTAGTTCAATCGCATGATGACACAACGTACTAATGTGCTACTCTTTGGGGGAAAGAAAGAAACCTTCAAAAACAGAAATCTCATGTGCCACACCAAATGATTCATTCATCATTCAACAGGATTTGTGTATTATTTATGCCAGGCACTGTGCTAGGTTCGGCAATATAAGATATTGAATGTAGCCCAAATGAGTACAAGCCTACTGGATCTTAAACTGCTTGCGGGAATGAATATCCCCTCTCCCTGCAGTAGTTCCCAGCAGGTTGTCCTCGACCTACCTCTGTTCCCAGGCGATAAAATGCCCAGAAGTCACACACAGCAAAAGTTCTAAGCCGCTTTAGGGAAAGGCAGTTACTGTAGCATTTTGAGTACATTACACACAACTGGAAAACGAAAGTGGGAGGACTCTTGGCCCTCAGTCCCACCCTAGAAGGCGGCCCTCAAGAGCCTCTGGGACAAGCTCCACATCCAGGAGGAGCCTGCTCAAGTGTGGTTCCTCGAGCTGCTGCAGTCCAGCTACCCAAACCAGCGCATCCCTGCCATGCAAGTCCTGGAGGATTCAGAATTTAGATTTCAGGATTTCAGAGTTCAGGATTCAGAATCCTGAAGTCTTCCAAAGCCAGAGTCTTATAAGAAGCTGCTCAGGGAGGTAACTGCCTTGCTGTAAGTAGATCTCCACTAGGACACTCAATTAGTGTTCGGATCATTACTCTTTGGTATTTTCCTGAGACTAGTGTCCACTTTACCCACTCGGAGGCTGCTTTTTTCAGAGGGAACTTGTGGATTCCCTTCATGCCTCATCCTTAAGCCTCGCCTTTGCATTTAGTTGCTGGTAGAAATCCTGTAGCCTTGCCCCAGGGTGACCTCTAGCTGACTGATCAGTGCTCTGCCCAGATGCCTTCCCGCTGGGAAGCGGGACTCCAAGGTGGCCCCAGGTTAGTGGAACACGCTGTGCTGGGAGGCGGAAGGCAGGCTCTCTCCTCTGCAGCACACGCTGTGGACCTTGAGCAAGTCCATCCTGTCTCTGAACCTCAGGTTTCTCCCAGAGTAAGGCAAACAGGCTCTGCACATGCCCCACTGTCCAAAACAGTCGTAAAGTATCTTTCAGATTGAAAAGCACAATTTCAGTGGTGTCGACTGGTTCTTTTCTCCTTCATCTTACACTTGTACGCACGTGTTAGACCTAGATCTGAGTTTAGCTTCCACTAGCATGTGACATTTCTCCATGGCCTGGCATTCCGTACCATTTGCAAAAGCATAAAATGTAGACACCCGCCCACAGGAATTTGGCGAGAGAGAAATAAAATGCTGCCTACAAGCTTCTATATATCTTACCAGCAAAGCGTCGAAATCATCTAATATTCATGGTTTAGAAAGAAACATACACAAAGTAAATTTAACAGAGTTTAACTAGCGAGAACGATTCTGGAATGAGGCCGCCCTCCACAACCGAGGGGTTCAGAGTGACCTCCACTGCCGTGCGGTCTGACAGGAATTTATGGACAGAAAAAAGAAAGTAACATACAGAAAATGGAAGTGAGGTGCAGAAATACCAATTGTTACAGCTCCAGATTTGCCTTATTTGAACGTGGTTTGGGCATTTGGCCCCCTCTATTGCGGAAAGTTGATAGAGCAAGAGTAGCTTACAGCCTGTTTACACATCAGTAGGTAGGTTGCAAGTCACTATGTCTGGAGGAACCTTTAGGCGAACTTAAAATATGTAAGGAGACGGTTTTAGATTAAATTAATTAACACGTTTATATGCATCAGTCTCTTACCAACCAGAGCCTGGAGACGGAGGTCGGGGAGGAGGGACAGCTGTCAGGAGATTCTAATTGGTTTACTTATTGGGAAAGACCAGTTAAGTCAAATCACAGAACAAGCTGATTATTCCTTGGTAATTACCTAATTATTTTGCTATTTCATCCTGCCCATTCAAATAATCTCAGTCCTACCAGCCCCTTAGCTTCCATTCTTTTCTGTAAATACCCTTACCTTTCTTCTACTGGTCCCCAACCTCTTCCTCTCCATTGAAATTCCCTGCCTGCCATCAAGGCAACTGGCAACGCCACAAAGAACAAGAAAAATGACCAGCATAGCACACTAGGGAAATATAAAAAAAAAATAAGTAAAAACAGCAATGCAGATCTTTTTCTCCTTAATCAAGTCGCTTTCAAAAAGAGAACATCAGAATACCCATGTTAGCAGAGTGTGATTGTGGTGTGACTCATGGAAAATTAGCACGTCTTTGGAAAGCAATTTTGCCGATATGAATCTAGAACATAAAATGTCTATCTTTCAATCCAGTAAGTTTGAATTCCAAAGACAGTAACACTAAAATATGGCAAAGCTTTATTTGAAGAAATGTAACTTACTTTGATGTTCCTCACATTGACTGCAATTGCATTTACACGTTAAAAACTGAAACCAATGCTCAAACTTTGAGAATTGGTGAGCAAATTATGTTACATCCATAGTATGAAAAAATGCAATTATTTCATGTTTCAATCAACACAGTAGCATTATTATGATTAGTGTTAAATGAAAGTAGCAGGAAACAAAAGACATAACAATTAGCCTACTTTGTAAAGCAAAGCACACAAAGGAGCTAAATAATGCAAATAAGTTCATAGCAATTACTTCTCAGTTTGCATAGTGTACAGTTTTTACTGGTCTTATTTATGCTTTTCTGTATTTCACAGATTTTCTGCAATGAGACTGAATTTTATAAGGAAAAAATGTTTTAAAATATCTGCCCACAATAACCAGTACAGGGTTTTAAACTTTTGGCTGAAGAGTGAGTTCCCAAAGACACACAGATGCCTGGCCTACACAGGGTTTCCATTCATGAATCACAATGAGGCTGCCAGGCGGCCGTGGTCCAAAGACAGTTGACAGGTCACCTGGCTGATGTTTGTTAATTCTTGAAATTCTTGATGACTTTTGACATTTTTTTATTTGGAGAGAGTTGCATTATTTCAAATTGTTCTTATAGAGATTGTATTGACATTCTCAGATCCCAAATTTTTGAGACTCAAATAATTCAAATTCACAGAAAAGGAAACCAGAATGAACAATCGATATTGAAGACACTGTATTTCTAAACAACACACTATCATTGCTTAAAAAATAGTTTCGGCAGTGTCACATCAAAGATTTGTGGCATACAATGCCAGCAGAAAGTTAATAAGCATGTTTCATAAGCAGATAGTATGTTTAGTGATACATAAGAAGACACTGATAATTTATTTTACATTAATTCATTGAAGCAGACATGCAAAACTGTCTACGGCAGCGGTCCCCAACATATTTGGCACCAGGTACTGGTTCGTGGAAGACAGTTTTCCCACAGACAGGCGATGGCCGTGGCGAGTGACGAAGAGCCGCGGTGAATGCAGATGACCCTTCGCTCACTCGCCCGCACCCGCCACCCGCTGTGAGGCCTGGTGCCTAACAGGCCGTGCACGGGTACCTGTGCCCGATTGGGGGTTGGGGACCGTGGGTCTACAGGAAGTTCATAAAGTCTGGAAACATAGGTGCATACACATAATGCCATCAAGGACATTTTCAGTGTGTCAAACACGCACGCGCGCGCACACACACACACACACACACACACACACACAGGTACACACTGCAGACTTTGTGTAGAATGGAAATCAAGTGCCACGTACCTGGAATCCTATTGAGTGTCACCCAGAAATGCTCATCAGGAGAGTAGGTGTCCTTCGACCACTCAAGTAAATTAACCGCCCTCTGGTCTTGAAGAACAAAATCCGCGAACTCCCTTGTAAGGGCCACGTAGGCAGAGCCAAAGTAAATGGTCAGATCATGAGGAGGAGGACTTTTTCTCATCCAAGTCCACAGCATAAAGGAAAACAAACGGTATCTCTGCTCCAAGTGCATGTATTTGGTCCTTCTGGTAATATGAGGAGGCGGCAGCACCCCTGGGGTAATGTTTTTCCCTTTAAATCCTTTCAGGTGCTGAACTATTTCCCTGTTGGTTTTCAGGGGGAAGTCTTGCCCACAGGTGTTGATGGCGTACTTCCAGGGGACCTGGGAGGCCACCAGGTCTTGCAGGCAGTTGAGGTCGGCCTGGAGCCTGGAAATTCCTGCGTAGACCACGGACTCCCTCTTTGAAGCCACAAAGGCATTTGCGAAGCAGCTCAGTAGTTTTCCAACAGCATCTTTGAAAGCAGCTGGGGCCTTCTCATCCACGTGAACGCAGTAGATGTTCTGGGGAGCGTAAATAGCCCTGAAGAGCCTTTCAAATGTAGCAAAGTCCTTGTGGATGACCATGACATACGCCAAAGGGAACTCGGCTTCCTCTTTGGACAGAGCTTCCATTATGTAGTGATTTTGGACCAAGTATTGTTGGCAGGTTATGCTTCTCAGTGGTGTCACTGGTGTACTTTCATCCACGAAAATCTCCTTTCCTGCCATAATCATGTCACAAACTTCTGCAAGGTCTGAAGAGTTTGAGATTTTCCCTACTCGCAGGTATTTTCGCAGGAATAAATTTTTGGTATACAGGAAGAAAAGGGTTATAGACATGGCCACAAACCCCACGACCAACCCAAACACCTTCAGCTTCATTTTCCTCATGATCTCTTCTTAATTTTTCACTTGCCTGACTTCATACATACTACTGCCAAAGTTGGTCTGCAGGGCCCTGTGCAGACTGTCAGGAAGTCTGCTCTAACTTCTTATTTCCAGCAAGAAGAGAAATGTTACCGTTACTTAAGGGAAGGGAGATCAACTACAAGTCTGTATCCTTTTCTTATATTGCAGGAATAGAGTGGATCTGCGGGCATGAGCCAGTGGGGCCAAGTGACCACCTAGCAAGAGCTGGGCATGTTTGGCACCTCTGTCTAGGTCAACCTCAATGGAGACCCTGTCAAATCAGCCATCGCTGCCAACTCAGCGTGGTCTTCCCATGTGGGGTCAGGGTAGAATGGGTGTCCATCTTGCAGCTCTTCTCCCCCACAGAGAGCCACTATCACCATCACTGATGTCACCTTTGAATACAAGGGACACTCTTATTTCTTCATTTTCATGTAGTTATAGTTGTCCTGGGGCAGGTCACCGTTTATATTGACAACACCCAGAATTGCTCAATATCAGGGACTCTTTACCTAAAAAGAAAGATCAAGAATTCATAGAATTTCTGGGCTGGAAATAATCATACAGGTTATTTGCACCACCTCATTTGATTGGCTAACAGAGAGCACTGAAAATGAATTAAATCTCTATCACATTTTTGTCTTCATTCTCTCACTGACAGCTGCATTGACATTATATTCATTTTGCACAGGAGGAAATTAAGCCCAAATTAAGTCAAACTAAGCCCACAGTCTTGCCTGATATCCAGTAATGAGTTAATGGTATCATGGGATCTCAAACCTAACTCTTCTGACTCTACAGGCCTTCTACCTGGAATGTGCTCTTCCCCTATCTTTTCTTGATGAGTTCCTAGTCATCTTTCAAGTCCCTTTGTGACACTGCTTCATTGGTGACCTCAACCTTCTGCCCCACATCTGAGTTAGGGGCCCTTTCCCTGCCCTAATGTGACCTCGTACTCCCTACCTTTGCTTGTTTGTTTGCTCTACCACTACCCCATAGAGGATTATTTCTTTTCTTTTTTAAAAAATAATTTTATATATTTTACTTTTTAAATTTATGACACATAGTAATTGTACATACTTAATAATAATAATGATAGGCAATAATACCTAATAATCATAGGTAATGCCTTGAATGAACAAGGCTCAAGTAGTGTGGTTAAAAAGAGCCTTGGATTGCATGTCAGAAAGTCTCCAGGTGAACCAAGGCTACAAGTCATTGCCTTGAGCAAGTCATTTCATCTCATACCTCACAGCTTCCTCTTTCTTTTTTTCTCTTGATAAAAGTTTGATTTTATTTCAAATGCAATGAGAAGCCATGGAGAGTTTTAAATAAGGAGGTAATGGGGTTTTAGGTTTTTAAAATTATTTTAATATATTTTTTAATTTTTTAAATTTCAGAATATTACAGGGGTACACATATTTTGGTTACATAATTTGCCTTTGTACAGTTTGAGTAAAAGTGGTAAGTGTGCCCATCACCCAGATAGTGTTCGTTGTACCAAAAAGGTGTGAATTACCCACTCTCTCCTCCCACCTCCCACCTACTAGATTTCCCTTGAGATTTACTTCCATAAGTGCCTGTAAATGTTGATCAATTTGTTCCATTTTAGTATTGTGTACATTCTGCACAGCCAAGGACATAATCAATACAGCAAATAGACAACCTACAAAATGGGAGAAAATATTTGCATGCTATACATGGAACAAAGGGCTGATAACCAGAATATACGTAAAACTCAAGCAAATCAGCAAGAAAAAAATCAAAATTACGCTTTGTATCCTAACTATGCCACTTTTACCACTCGAGGCCGCTTTTTTCAGAGGGTCAACTGTTGGATTCCTTCATGACCCCTCATCCTTAAGCCTCGCCTTCTTGCATTTATTGCGGAGAAATCCCTTAGCCTGGCCCCAGGGTGACTCATAGCGACTGACATCAGCTTGCTCTGCCAGATGCCTTCCCGCTGGGAATCCCAGACTCCCAAAGTGGCCCCAGCGGTTAAGTGGAACACCTGGCCTGGGAGCGGAAAGGCAGCTCTCTCCCCTGCAGCACACGCTGTTGACTGCAGTCCATTCCGGTCTCTGAACCTCAGGTTTCTCCAGAGTAAGGCAAACAGCTCTGCACATCCCCACGTTCCAAAACAGCTCGAAATTATCTTCCTAACTGAAAAGACATTTAAGTGTGTCGACTGGTTCTTTTTCTCTATCACTTTACCACTTGTACCACGGTACCTACGATCTGAGTTAGCTTGCACTAGTATGCGTGACATTATCCCATGCCGCATCCGTACCATTTGCAAAACAATAAAGTATACACCGTCCCAGAATTGCTGGAGAGAGAAATAAAAACCGTAGCAATGCCATACATCTTAGCCAAAGGCTCGCAATCACTATTATCATGTTTAGAAGAGAACATCCACAGAATTTACACAGAGTTAACTGAGCGAAACGATTCCGAATTAGCCCCCTCCACAACCGAAGGGTCAAAGTGACCTCCACACTGCCGTGCGGTCTGAACAGGGAATTTTATACAGAAAAAAGAGTAAATACAGAAACCAAAATGGAAGGACAGAAAAGCCAATTGGTTACAGCTCCAGTTCTGCCTTATTTGACGGTGCATTTGGCCCCTCTATTGCGGAAAGTCGATAAGCTAAGAGTCAAGCCTATACAGCCGTTTACACATCAGTAGGTAGGTGCAAGTCACTAGTCGGAGAACCTGTGGCGAATTAAATAATTACAGGAACCGTTAACCAGACTTATTAACCACTCTATAGCATCAGTCTCCTACCAACCAGAGCCCTGGAGACAGGTCGGCGGGGGCAGAGTGTACAGCGTCGGGAGAATCAATTGGGTTTTACCTTATTGGGGAAACCAGTTATCAATCACGAACAATCTCGATTAATTCCTTGGTATCGCGTGACCGTTGTTGCTTTTTTTTTCTAGCGTGTAATTATTTTGCCAATTTATCCTGCCCCATCCCAATACATAATCTCTCTACCACCCTTACAGCTTCCATTCTTTTCGTAAATACCTTATCCTTCTTCTACTGTCTCCAACCCTTCAATTCTCTCCCATTTGAAATTCCTGCCTGCCATCCAAGGCGCACGCCAACGCACACCAGAGCAAAAAATGACCCAGCCTATGCAACAGGGAATAAAAAAGCTCAATAAATAAAAACAGCAAGCAATCTTTTTTCTCTTAACAAGGTCGCTTTCAAAAGGAGAGTACATCCAACCATTGTAGGCGAGAGGGTATTGTCTGGTGTCACTCATGGATAAACTAGACGTCTTTGGAAAGGGCAATTTTGGCAAATGAACCCCGTCAAGAACTAAAACTTGCTATCTTCAAACCAGTAAGTTGAATCCAAAACAAAACTAATGGTGCCATAGCTTTAGTAAGAATGTACTTATCTTGATGTTACTTCACATTGACTACAATGCATTTACACGTTAGTACAAACTGCAAACGCAGGCCGGCGCGCGCGTGGTACCCTGTAATCCTAGCTCCTATGGAGGAGCCGGGTCGGGCCGGAGCTCGAGGTTCAGAGTTCAAAACCAGCCTGAGCAAAGCAAAAGACGCCCGTCTCTACTCAAATACGAGAAGAAATTAATTGGCACTGATATAGTAGGAGTAAAAAAGTAGCCGGGCATGGCGCGGGCACATGCCTGACTCCCAGCTACTTGGAGCTGAGGAGTAGGATCGCTTGAGCCGCAGGAGCCGGTTTTTGAGCTTCGCTGTGACAGGCTTGACCCATGGCACTCCACTCTAGCCGGACAACAAAGTGGAGACTCTGTCCAAAAAAAAAAAAACTAACCAATGCTCAAACTTTGAGGAATTGGGGAGTCTCAAATATGGTACATCATCAGCATGCAAAAAACTGCTAATTATCATGTTTCTAACACACCCCCGTAGCATTATATGAAGTGCTTACTAATGAAAGTAGCAGGAAACAAAAGCTATATACATCATGTAGCCTACTGATAAAGCAAACACCAAAGGAGCTTAAAAACTGCAAATAATGCATGACAATTACTTTTCTCATTGCATGTGTACATTTTTACTGGTCTTAGATTTATGCTTTTTGTATTTCACAGATTTTCTGCACATGAGATCGATTGTTTAGGAAAAAATGTTTAAAATATCTGCCACATAACCAGTACAGGTTTTAAACTTTTGGCTGAAGAGTGATGTTCCCAAACACACAGATGCCGTGGCCTACACAGGGTTCCCATTCATGATCCAACGAGCTGCCAGGCCCCGTCCGTCCAAGGACAGTTCGACAGCACCTGCTGATTTGTTAATTCTCTCGAAATTCTTGATGACGTTTGATTTTTTTTATTGGAGAGGTTGCGCATCTATCAATGTTCTTATAACATTGTATGAACTTCCTCAGATCCCAAATTTTTAGACTGTCAAATATCAAATCACAGAAAACGGAAACCAGAATGAACAATTCTGATTATCTGACCATACACTGTTTTGTCTAACAACACTACTTCATTGCTTAAAACCATAGTTCGCAGTGTCCAGCAAAGATTTCGGCATACAATGCCGCAAAAGCTAATCGCCATGTTTCATAACAGATAGTAATTTTCTGATGACATAAATAGACACTGATAATTTTTCACATTAATCATTGAACAGACCATGCAAAACGTCGTAGGCGCACCGGTCCAACATATTTGGTCACCAGGTACCTGGTTCGTGGAGACAATTTTCCCAGACAGGCGATGCGTGGCGAGTGACGAAGAGCCGCGGAATGCAGATACCCTTCACACGCGCAGCCCCACCTCGGGTGCAGGCCTGGCCGTAACAGGCCGTGCACGGGTACTGGGAAGTCGTTCGGCTGTCCCGATTGGGGGGTGCGACCGGTGGTCTACAGAGTTCATAAAGTCTGAAACATAGGTGCATGAGCACATAGATTCCGATCAAGACATTTCAGGTGTCAAAACGCACTCGCGCGCACTGCACCCAACACACACACACACACACACAGTACACCTGCAGACTTGTGTAAATGAAACAAGTGCCACGTACCTGGAACCTTTGAGTTCACCCAGAAATGCCTCCCAGGAATAGTTCCTTCGACCACCTCAAGTAAAGTAAGCCTCTGGTCTGAACAACAAAATCGCCGAACCCTTGAAGGCCACGAGCAGAGCCAAAGTAAATGGCAGATCAGAGGAGAGGACTTTTCTCATCAAGTCCACACATAAAGGAAAACAAACGGTATCCGTCCAATCATGTATTGTCTTCTGGAATGTCATGGAGTAGTACTCAGCCTTAAGAAAGGGATCTCAGATCCTTTGGACAACCTGGATGGAACTGGAGACCATTCTACTAAGTGAAGTACATTAAGCATGAAAAGCAGCTTCCCTCTGAGAGAATCTGACAAAGCAATCCTGAAGGATCTCACAGGTAGGAGGGACTAAGTTAGTTTCTTTAGGGCATCTAACTCCAACTTTGGCGTTTCCTTCTAGCAAGGTCACCACACTTCTGAGTCCTGGTTCCTCAAT